TTTTTCTTTATACCAATTGATTCGTCTTATTATTTTATGCATAAAAGTATTAAGGTAAAATTCCCAAAAATTGAATGTTTTACAAGATATTTTGTATTTTATGTCAAAATACTGTAATTTACAAGCCTCATAACTCGAAAAGTACTTAATGAAAAATAACTTTATTATAGTGTTTTGAAAAGCTCTTAACACCAGCTATTAGATTTTGGAATCAAAAATAGGGGTTTCTATTTAAAAAACCTAACCTAACCTTGAAATGACCTTGAAGGTCAAGCTTAAGGTCAAATTAAAAGTCACCGTTGAATTCCTCGTTGAAAATTACTTCAAAAATGACCTTGACCTTTTTCAAAAATACCTTACATGAGAAAATATTCAGCCGTCCCGGGACTTAATTGACACCCTGTATATAATTACACATAATAATAATATTAAATTATACATAATAGTATCATTAAATACATCTATTTAATGAATTATATTATACGTATAATATAAGTATAAATACAGTATTTCATAATATTATTACATATACAGGGTGTCCCAAAGTCCGCGACCCAACCGTCGTGTACAGATAAAGCGGGTCAAACTGAATAAGTAAGTCCTTTACCACTTTGCGAAATTTTCAATAATTAATTAGAAAATAATTAATAAAGATCCGCCAATCCGCGCAAGTATTCCCCGAGCGCCGAGCGCGCGGCGAGTAGGACCCACCCAGCATAGCATAATACACGCGCCGCTCGTGTGTAGTGTGCATAGCTAACCAAGAGAGCGTCCCTCCCACCGCTCTGCCGCGCTTTGTGGACTTACTTATTAAAAGGACTTACTTATTCAGTTTGACCCGCTCTATCTGTACACGACGGTTGGGCCGCGAACTTTGGGACACCCTGTATATACAGGGTGAGGCATCTAAAACAGATCAACTGAATAACTCGCCTACTTTTGACGATAGAAAAAAATGCATCAGACCAATCTTGCTTAGTTTCAAGGAGGATATAATCTGATGTCAATAGTTTTTTTTGTAGGTGGAAGTGTAGAGGAGATGGGAAGGTCAACTTCGTTTTCTTAAATGGAATAGTATGTTTTTTACTTATCTTCTAATAGAGCATTTTAAGACGCATACAATGACCTGTGGTTAAAGGTCATTTAAGATCATTTAAGGTCATTAAAGGTCAATTGTGAAAATAATTTACTTCAAGGAACCAATCGAACACTTTTGTTTCTTCTCTGGTTATTGGTATATCGCTCTTATAATCGCTATATATATATTGTATCTAATCATTTTTATGATAATTATTTTTATTGCAAAATTTGAATATGCTTTCAATTTTTTTTCCCATTATACAAAATTCTTCAGTAACGTTATCAAAAATTCTAATTATTTCTCTAATCATTTCAACTGTAAAAATAAGTATAAAGATGATATATTATTCAAGAAATCGAATTTATCGCTAACAATTTTATTGTAATATAATATAATATAATCGATATGATTCATCAAATGTAGATAACCAGGCAATTCTACATATGATTCTACATGTATATGCAGATATAAATAAACACTCTCAAATTCTAGAATTATTACGGAATCGATAGATAAATTGCTAATCAAAATTAGTGCTAATTTTTGGGAAATTACTGTAAAATTTTATAAGTATATAAACGTATATGAAAGTATATAAGTATATAAATGTAATACTTGTTAATGTCTTAGCAATTTCAAGCAATGCTTTTATTTATTTTAACTATTTTTCTCATCTTTTATTAATTTTTGCACTTGTTTACGTATATTTGCGCTATTGAATCAGTTCTACATATTGAATACAACATCTATTACCAAATCTTTCATAATATATACAAAAAACAAAAAAAGAAAAAGTTTTCCAAACTTTACTGGGAATGACAGTTGAATGTCTAAAATCGATATTCATAATCGTAAATAATTTTCTATTAAATGATTCATTCTTTTTACTAATGATTTAAAAAGTAACCTTTTACAGATTCTTATTTATAAATTATTTATAAATTATTTACATTAAACGTGCTATAAACCAATAGGTATATTGGTTAAATAAAAAAGATACTTCACAAAAGTCTTATTAAAAAAGCTTTTTTATAAAAGTGTATACAATTAAATTGGAATTATATTGAAAACTACAATGTGTACTGTAGAGAAAAATTGATAAATTGCAGAATTCAAAACAAAATTCTCAGAACTTTGAAAACACTTCTCGTAATAATTCGATTTAATATTTACGAGTATCTTTTTTATTTAAAAACTATACTCTATTATTATTTAGAATTTATAATCTATGAATAATTTTTGCTTATATAAAAGTAATTTATAGTCGGTGAATTTTTATTATTATTATAATTATTAATAAAATAATTATCACACTGATTTATCAAATAAAACTTTAAGTATAATTAATGAGAGCCTTTCTGTCAAATAGTTTGACAGCGTTTGTTGATTTTATGTATAATTGTCATTAAAAAAATTTCCAATTATTGTATAGAAACGTATTATGGGTAGCTTTAATTATTATATATTTTATGTACTAGAAGAAATAAAGACAATATATTAAATGTCTTTTTATATCAAAATATCAAGGACATGCTTTACGAATCAAAATATATTTCAGGATTATAAATTTGTATAATTTTTACAAGAATTACAAATCAACGAATAATCACAAATTTTTTCATGAAACTATAATTATTTGTCAAATAATAGTCAATTATGAACCTAAATTACTAATTGCGTATATAATTTAACACATTTCTTCTTTAGAACTCTTCAACAATAAGTTAGAAAGCTTTACTAAGAAAGCATATTCAGAGAACAACATTATGCAGAGAAAAACATTCAGATTTATTGACATGGAAAATATAGTTGGCATGACAAATAATAAAATAATAAAAAAAAATATATATATATATTAAAATTAAAAATAAAAAATAAAAATATTATTATAAGCATCCAGTATAAAAGTGTTATTGTTTGAGTTTACTTAATGAAATTCTTGGGATAATAGTCATATTATATTTATAGTGCAATATGTCTCTAATAGTTATTGGACGTCGGTTCTGTGAGGCTCATGAATAAAAACTTTTCTATTTATTTTCAGTCATATGTCTCAACATCCACCAAACGCGAGGTATCCGGATGCGATTGCATTGGCGTTTGATGAGCGAAACAACAAGCTGACCTGCGTCTATAATGATCACAGCATCTATGTTTGGGACGTAAGGGATATCAGACGAGTGGGCAAGTCGCACTCGTTTCTGTACCACTCGGCCTGCATCTGGGGCGTTGAAATGTATCCGATCAATCCAGACTCCGTAGGTGCGATGCCACCCGGCAGCTTCATCACTTGTTCCAGCGACGACACAATAAGAGTCTGGAATCTGGAGAAAGATATCTTGCCGAACGACACGTTGTACAAACGAAACATTTATAGTAACGTTAGTATTCATTTCTTTCTAACATATATGATTAATTATATGGGATAATATTGAATATATAATTCTCCACGACAATGTAAAATAATTAATTATAATTTTATTACATAAGCTGGTACAGCCAAAAGCTAAGATTTTATGCTCACAATTATTATTTACAACATATAAGAAGCCACAGACGTTTCGGTCTTGGGCTTAGGCCATCTTCAGTATGGGAAAACAAAACAAACAATTTTTCGATAAACGGTCTAAATGTTAAAACGCAATACCTTTTAAAAATTACATTTAACTCTATTTAATATTAGGTTGTTCCAAAAGTTCTTTTCGTTTTCTTACTAAAAATTAAATTACCCCCCGTTCTACCCCCTTAAAATCTGGGGTAGAATTCTGTGCTTTAAAAAGTAAGTGATATCTCACAAAAATTCATAAATGATAAGGTCTGGCCAAGTTTCAAAAAAGACACTCCAATATGTTTATATTTTAATAATTACCTAAATTTTTAATATATTACCAACATGAAAAGTAACTGATTACTATGATTACTATTAATTACCTTTATTACTATTACTATTAATATTACCTTCTGATTACTATTTATTCCTTTCTTTAAAAAATTCTCTTTGTGATAAAAAATTTCACTCTTTGAATGAACATAAAAAATTACCTAGATCAATATTTTGCCAGTAAATCAAAGACATTTTGGAAAAATGGCATCATGAGGCTTCCGGAGAGATGAAGAAAGGTGGTAGAGCAGAATGGCTCGTATATACTTCAATAAATTGTGTCGTTCATAAAAGGTTGAGTATTTAATTTTTAGTAAGAAAACGAAAAGAACTTTTGGTACAACCTAATACATATTTAAGATTGATCTTAACGCAAATTCTTTGATTATATAACTTCTATAGTTGTCTGTATTTTCTGATTTCAATCTCGAGGTTGAAAAGCAAAACCATGTTTCTTAATTTGATTTCTCTATAGTCATCTACTCTGATGTCGTTGCTAAATAAAATTAAAATTATATTGACAGCATCAATGTTTTCAGTATGTCTTAATTACATTATGTTTATGAAAAAGTGTCCAAAAAGCGTCACCTCATTTTTCGTAACGTCTTCATCTTATTGCTCATCAAGCCAGCCTTATTTTATAACTGTGTATTCACTGAGAATTTTTTTAAGCAACTAGATGTAAAATTAAAAATTTAATGTAAAATGAGTTATGTAACAATAATAATGAATTATATAATAATAATAATAATAATAATAATAATAATAATAATGATAATGATAATAATAATAATAAAGGGAACCAGGAATCTCTGAGCATAGAAGAAATTTATATCAGGAGAGGAATCTTCCAGGGAGATTCCCTCAATCCACTTTGGTTCTGCCTGGCAATGAATCCATTGTCTACAATGCTTAACAATACAAAATATGGCTTTAAGATTATAGCCAATAAGATTCAATCATATCGTCTCGCATCTTTTCTACATGGACGACATTAAATTCTATTCCAGAAACAAGAAACAACTTAATGACCTTATTAACATGCGCGAAATGTTTTCCAAAGATATTTGTATGGAATTCGGAATAGACAAATATAATACCTTAGACATACCTTAATACCTTAAACATCGAAAAGAGTAAAGTTCTAAATGGAGATGTCGTACTTCCGAATGGAAATAATGTGGACAATGAAGGTGAAAATGCCTAGGTTTTCAACAAACTCGCTTATTAAAACATAGGCGGAGCAAGAATAAAGTTAAAGGTGAATACGTACACTGAATGAAAAAACTCCTAAAATATAAGCTGGAGGAAACCTTGTAAAGGCTATTAACATTTATACCATACCAGTTCTCAAGTATTCTGAAATGGACAAACACTGAATTAAACAACATCCAACGAATCATACTCTTAATGATGACCAAGTATAACATTCACCATCCTAAAGTTTTCTCACTGAGAACGATATTCCCGAGAACGAAAAAGACGAGCTTTGATTGACATCACCAAACCAACGGTTATTGCCGTCAGCTAATTAAGCTATGTGACTTCTTTTTTGGCAAAACTCAATCTTCATAAGGTAATAAAAACTACTCTACAATAAACCTGGTTGACAAAAACTACTCTTCAATAAATCTTGCGCCAGACAATGTAAATTTAACGCCAGTCTCTAACGCTAAGAAGCAAGAACAGTGGGCGGAAAAAACACTACACAGTTGCCATTACGATGACCTTTAACCAGTCCCATATAGATAAAGAGGCATCAAACAGATGGTTAAGTGATGGAAAGCTGTTTCCTGAAATGGAGAGCTTTATAGTTGCAATACAAGATCAAGTCATTGATACAAATAACTACAAGAAGTTTGTTATCAAGGACCAAAACACTGTCTCGGACAAATATCGCAAGTGCACGAAAAGTCAGAGACTATTCAGCACATAACATCAGGGTGCATATATTTAACTAACACTGACTACTTATGTAGACACAATCAGGTATGCAATATTCTACATCAAAAACTTGTTTTGATGTAACAAATTCGGCCTTCTCAAGACCTATACACCGTATTATAAATACAAATCCCAGGCAATGTCAGAAAACGACTCCTGCAGATTATATTACGACAGGACTGTTATTACTAATAAGCAGGTGATGAATTGCCTGATATTGTCATGGTAGATAAAGCAGCCAGAATCATATTCCTGGTGGATGTCAGTGTACCCAACAATAACAATATATTGAACAAATGTCAAGAAAAAAAATTAAATATGCAGAGTTGGCTTTAGAAATTAAACAGATGTGGTATATCGACAAAATAAAAGTGATATCTATCATATCATCTATAGACCTTATTCCAAATACACTACATGAATGTCTTGCCAAATTAAGACTTTATAAGAACATTTATATTAAAATGCAGGAGGCAATCATTCTTAAAACGTGCTATCTAGTGCAAAAATTTTTACAACAAACAGTAGAAGTATACAGAGCTGTGTTTTGATAGTTATTATCCAGCACAGTCCTAACACCCGTTGTTGGAGCTTTACAAGATAATAATAAATCTACATAATTTTTCTAAAAATATAAAAAAGCAAGGGCAATATATTATCTTTTGTAATATTTTTTTCTTCTTTTCAGGAATTGCTCAAGGTATTATATGTGGATCCAGAATTGACTTATCTGAAAGATCTGGACTTAGCTGCTGCAGGATCCACTGAAAAAAACGATGCGTCTTACGATGGTCGTAACGGTGTAAGATCGATAAGAATCGGACCTGATGGCAAACATCTCGCTTCAGGAGATAGGTAAATTGAAAAGAAGAATTTAATTAATTCTGCATATGTGCATCATTAACATTTAAGTTAATAATATTAGTAATTACTTAATACTAGTAGTCAGTTTAAAAAAAAATATTGTTTTTATTTATATATCACATTTAATTATGTCAACTACTATTTTTAAATATAATTATATATTTTATTTTAAGTTTTTTAATTTTTATTCTTGAACTTCAAAATTTATTTCTCAATTTTTAAATTATCGAAATTTTCATAAAATTTGTGAATTTACTAATTTATCAATTTATCAATTTATTTATTTATTTATTTAATTTATTAATTTGGATAAATTTGTAATATTGTACAATAAATTTCCGATTTAAAATTCTAAAATTTTTACTGCAAATTACTGCAGATTTGAATTTACCACAAACCCTGAATATACACAATATTTACATAAATTTAATTGTTTTCGATATAATGAGATTTAATAATTGAGAGATTACTAAATAGTGGAACAAATTTAAAAACAATATATACAATAATATTTGCACATTATTCATGCATAGATCCGGCAACATCAGGATTCATGACATTTCTTCGTTGGAAGAGTTGTGCTTAATAGAAGCACATGACGCTGAGGTGCTATGCCTAGAATATTCGAGATTCTCGCGGTACTCGGTAGACATGCCCAGGCTTTTGGCGAGCGCATCACGGGATCGGCTAATACACGTTTTTAGCGTGGATCAGGGATACAATTTTCTGCAGACACTTGACGATCACAGTTCTTCCATTACTGCTGTGAGATTTTTCAATCAATCAAATCAGGGTAATCAAATACAGATGGTATCCTGTGGCGCTGACAAGAGTATTATTTTTAGACAGCTTCAATCGGTGAGTAACTTTATATTCAATAATCGATAGTTCAATTTGTATTCGTACATTAAGATATTGTGCTGCAACACTTGTCTATATTTTCAGACACCAGGTGGAATGCCACAGTTCGCTAGAGGTCACAATGCTCAAGGTAAAACTACTCTATACGACATGGAAGTTGATTCTGGGCAGAAGCATGTGTTAACCGCCTGTCAAGATAGGAATATTAGAGTTTACAATGTCACTACCGGTAAACATAGCAAAACCTTTAAAGGTTCTGTTAGCGACGATGGATCTCTAATCAAAGTCGTTCTAGGTACGATATGTACTTTATTATATTATTACTACACTAATAATTATATTATTTTTTTATTTTTTAAACAAAATTTACATTTAAATTTTCAGATTAAAGATCCTTAAAACTTCATGAAAAAATTTTATATAAAACTGAACTTTTAATCGTCACAGTGTGGGTTCATGATTTAAAATTCCTAAATTTCGACTGAATTTAAATTCAATTGACGAAACTCTGAATATATAATCTTTATGTAAATTTATTTTTTCATAGAAATAATTTTTAGCACTAGATAAATGTTTAGAATTTACACCGTCAGGCTCGATTGTCTTAATTTTCACATATGTATTAAGATCATAGTCTTGAATAATGTTTTTAAAGTTTTTAACCCTCGTTTATTGTTTATTAAAAAGTTATAAACAAAAACCGTTTCACGAATTATACGTAATTTTCGCCAGTTAGAACTTATTCATCAATACAGAATTAGTTCCTCGTTTTTCTCTAGTTTAGGAATTTTCAAGAAAAGTCATTATACTGTTGTCATGTAGGAAATATTTTCTTCTTGCTTGCGTGGTAGAAATATTGTCAGACACACAGTTTCTGTTGCGAATTCGTATGCCTTATATTGTTACTCGAATTTCTTTATTTGACATACAATAATGAAGATCTTATTAATTATTTGTGTGATATGTAAGTGATGTGTGTGCGACGAGAAATTGTGTATCCTCGATGCTAAAAAATAATACGTATATGCAATGGTTCTTTTTATTTACATTTATTTACGTGTAGTAAATTGAATGCGCGAGCGGGGGAACGAGACCTTTTGTTTACTGCATTTTAATAAACAAATCTGCTAAAAGTACATTCTATTAAATGTACATAGTGTCCGAAAATTACGTGTAATTTGTAAATAACTTATTTTATTTATAATTTTTTAATAAACAATGAGCGATGGTTATATAATATATAATCTTGTTTTTGTCACTCAAGACTATGCTCTTAATAACATATGTGAAAATTAAGACGATCAAGCCTGACTGTGTTCTAAACATTCACCGAGTTTAAAGACATCTCAATAAATGCATCGAATTAGAACAGCAACATTGTGATCTCAAGTTGCTCAGAAAGACTTCAATGTATAAATCGATAAATGCTATGTTTTCGTATTTTTAGATGCCTCCGGTATTTATGTAGCTACTTCATGCACAGACAAGACATTGTGCGTGTACGATTATTACAGCGGCGAATGCATGGCCACTATGGTCGGTCATTCGGAATTAGTGACGGGCTTACGTTTCAGTCCAGACTGTCGTCACCTTGTGTCCGCGAGCGGCGATGGCTGCGTGTTCGTGTGGCGCGTTCCGCACGACATGGTCGTGACCATGCAAGCTCGTCTTGCTCAACAAGCAATGCGCGCCGGCAAGTGAGTACTTTCTTTTTCTAGCTTTGTAAATCCTGTTGAGCTGTAAATACAATAATTGGTATTTCTGTCGAATGTGTTTATAGAAAACCGCCTCAAGTCAACGGTGACGGAATCGACGTGCAATTGGACAACGAAACTTTCGGATCGCCTACACCTGATTTCCTGGACCCTAACGCGAATCCAACGCCTCAGGGTATCGGTGTGGATTACAGGTTTAGCGTGGGTCAATTGCCGCTGTGGGCGAAGAAGCAGATAAATACCGCGACTACCGACGATAGCGCAGCGCTTGGTTCAAACGCGAGATCTCTTGGTGTCGACCTGCCCAAAGGCAGATGGGCGCAAAGAGTTCAACAGGGCGACGGTATCACCGTAAAATCCGTCTATGATAGCGACGAAGTTATACCGTTTCCGCCGTCACGTAGTACCATTGATTCGGATGGCGGTGGTGGCGGTGGCGGCTCGAAAGACAGTTCTATCGATAGTGGCACCGAGACGAAATGCAGCAGCGACTATCGTCGAGAAATGATAAGCAAAAGAGTGAGTATTAGAAAATCTTTAACTCCTCTCACACAATTATTTAAAAAAATATATTTTTTGTACGAATTTTTATAAAACACAATATCCATAGATTTTTAGAATGATTGCTGAATTTGATCAAAATTTTCTAATTAAATATAGCAGATACAGTATATTATTATTATTATATATTATTATTATTCTGTACTCCTAAATTTGATTTGATTTGACAAGTTTTTCAGTAGTTTTTGGCATAACAATTTTTTTAATTCAAGGAAGAATACTATTTTTATAAATCACAAAATACAATTTATTGTATTCTATAATTTTAATTTATCACATTTAAATTGAACATTAACAACCAAGTTTAAATTTAATTATATTTTATCTTTAATTTTTTATTTTTGATGTTTGAATTATAAAATTTACATTTTAATCTTCAAATTAAAAATTCCTTGAAAAAATTTTACATGAAATTTATCATTTGATTTTTAATTGTCACGTTGTGGATTGAAACGTTCACGATTCAGAATTCCAAAATTTATTTTTTTTTCATTTTTTATTTTTTTTTTTTATTTTTTTTTTTTTTTTTACTTAATTTGTCTTTTATAAACATCATTACTCACATAATAATACGGAAGCTTATTGAGTAATAATATTGCTATTATAATATTGCTCCTTTAAACCTAGGAACAAAATATTAACATTTACTTGCGGTTTTAGGAAGAGGAAGAAAGTGTATTTCAACCTTGTCCAGAAAGTTATAGAGAGATAGAAAACGAAACAAAGCAGGTACTAACAAAAATTGTAAATATTAATATTTAACATTTGATTGTATGCGATATCGTCTTTTTAATTTACATCGATAACATATCTATTCATCATATCTTTATTCATGGATTACTTTGCTTTGCTCTTGCCTTTTTAAATCGTTTTTCTTTATTTAAACTGCACGATCTCTCTCCCTCTCTCTTGCTTTCGCTCTCCCTCTCTCTTGCTTTTGCTCTCCCTCTCTCTTGCTTTCGCTCTATGATTCACCGTTGTATGTACTTATTTCGTTGATTACGTTTTATTTCGATCGCTCGCACAGGTGATTGATAGTAAGGTGACAGTAAGAAGTAGCACGGACTTGACACGTCAATCGAGGAGCCGTCATCACACTGATGATAGCAGTCTTGGCAGCTTTAAATTTGAGGTATAAAAATTGCCCTAAAAAGTAATTTATAAAGCTGCTTTTTCGATCATAACTAAATATACTAAATATACTAAATATACTATACATTACATAAATATTATTTCTTATCTGTATTAATGACGTATATATGCTTTGTTTTAAAAAAAAAATTTTTTATTTATACAATATTTGTAAAACACAGTTATAATTTAATTTATATGTATCACATTTAATTCAGGTGTAAATAATTGTTTTTAATTTTATTACAATATATGTATCTTTTCATCTTAACTTTTTTAAATTTTTATTCTTGAAATACAAAATTTATATCTCAATTTTTAGATTAAAAGTTTCTAAAACTCATAGAAAAAGTTTTATATAAAATCTATTATTTGAATTTCTACACTGAGAGAAAAGCATATGATTTGGAATTGTAATTTTATGGAATTATAATTATAAATTATCAGAATACTCTTTTTTTATAGGAATTGTTACTATAATGCTAACCATAATAACCTTATACGTATAGTACTGTCATATAACCAATCATATAGTTAGAATACCTATAAAAATATGATTGGCGCCAAAAAGACACTATAGATTATGGTTATTGCAATTTTCTTTTCTCTCCGTATAATTCTCTATGTATCAGTGGTGCACTCAAAATATTTGGGGGGGGGGAGGGGTTTAAAATTCACACACACAAAATGAAACAGTATGATCAAAAGTCAGGATAATTTTATATTGCACACTAAAAAATATAAAAATGTTACATTGTTTAATAAAAAATTCAATTTATTTTTATAGTAGCATAATTATAAATTGATATCGAGTTTTCTTGGTTTTTCTTAAATAATCTTTAATTATTTAAGAAAAACTGAATTTTGAAAAACTGAATCTAAGATTAACTGAATTGCTTAATAATCAGAAAATTTGTCTATATATATATATATGGCTGCTAGATGTTTCTTAAGTAACTTATATATATAAAAATATGAATATCTTAAAGTAGATATTATATACGTTCGAACAGCAGTATAGCTGGAGAAGCTATCATAATTATTTGTCTGCAAGGATATTGGCATGAATTTTGAATTATTAAAATTGTGATTATAGTTAATAACAGATAAAAAATACAAATGTTTGAACGCATTTTATTTAACTACAGATTTTTTACTTTTTGTTGTTAAATTAATAAAAAAATAAGGTATATTAATTAAATTTCGGGGAGGGGGGGAGGTTAACCCCCATGAGAGGGGTCAACCATCCTTCCCCTTCCCCATGGGTGCGCCACTGCTACGTATAATCGCCATACTGGATTTGTGATACGGAATTTAAAAATTGCGATTGCAGATTTGAATTTGCGTAATGTTCCAGAAAACGCTGAATATGCAATCTTTACATAAATCTAGTTTTCTCATTGAAATAATTTTTGGTAATAAAATATTCTTACTTCCGAACAGTTAAGGAGTTAATTGACATTATTGCTTTATATGTTTGTTCATAGATTATTATATGCTATTGGTGTGCTTTTGATTTAATTGTCAATTATTGCATCTATTGTCCATATCTGACAATTCGCTATATTGTTAAAAGTATTGTACATTATCCAGGATCACGAGAGTACTGAACATGATGGAGATGTTGAAGATTATTCTGAAGGAGAAAACGGAACCACCGGTTCTGAAAAGTCGCACCATAGATTGATGTATTATCCTCCACCGGAAGATATTGTATCTAATCAGTTCACCGTTAATGCGATGGACGTTGAAGAACTTCGACGGTTTGTGCTTTTTTTCTAATGTATCTACTAGATGAGTGGCTCATTTTAAATAAGCCCATTTTTATTTTACCAAAGATGTTAATTTTACAAAAAAAAACTCTGAATAAAAATTGCAGGGTTTCAAAGGGTATATAAAATGATGTCATTGGTTTGACTTGGATATCTGTATAGGTATATATCACTATCCATGTAAATATAAAGTTTAGACTATAATCTGAAAATGTTTGAAATAAAGAGGTATAAATCCAACTGGGAAATTATAAACTTTGAGAGGATTTACAACTCAGAAAGTTTTTATCAAAAATAGTATTTATAACAAGTATTTCGAAAATGTTTTAATATCAGTTATAAAAATATGCAATAAAAAGAATTCTATTTAGAAAATAGAAGGTGACTTTTACATGACCTTTAAACGGCTATCCAAAGCCACAGCAATAGCACCATCTTATATCCTCCTTAAAACCATGCAATTTTTATTTAGAATAGAACTTTTTTTGTAAAATCAATATTTTTAGCAAAATAAAAATAGATCGCTCTGTATAGAAAATGTAGCAAAAATCGTGGTATACAATTGGAAATAAGCTTCTATATAATTATTCTATATAATTCTATAAAAGTATGTCGAAAATGTAGAATATTTTTTCATATATCAGCGTTATTATTATTGAAATTATTAACTTTGAAAATTGGAAAATTAATAATATTTTCGCATTTTTCTAAGCTTCTAATTCTAATGATAGTCTTCTATGATGTAGTATTATACAGGGTGTCAATTAAGTCCCAGGACGGCTGAATATTTTCTCATGTAAGGTATTTTTGAAAAAGGTCAAGGTCATTTCTGAAGTAATTTTCAACGAGGAATTCAACGGTGACCTTCAATTTGACCTTGAGCTTGACCTTCAAGGTCATTTCAAGGTTAGGTTAGGTTTTTTAAATAGAAACCCCTATTTTTGATTCCAAAATCTAATAGCTGGTGTCAAGAGCTTTTCAAAACAATATAATGAAGTTATTTTTTATTAAGTACTTTTCGAGTTATGAGGCTTGTAAATTACAGTATTTTGACATAAAATACAAAATATCTTGTAAAACATTCAATTTTTGGGAATCTTACCTTAATACTTTTATGCATAAAATAATAAGACGAATCAATTGGTATAAAGAAAACACATAGTTGCTTTCAAGAAAAAGTATGCAGTTGCATGTTGCAAACTACATATTTTTTCTTGAAAGCAACTATGTGTTTTCTTTATACCAATTGATTCGTCTCATTATTTTATGCATAAAAGTATTAAGGTAAGATTCTCAAAAATTGAATGTTTTACAAGATATTTTGTATTTTATGTCAAAATACTGTAATTTACAAGCCTCATAACTTGAAAAGTACTTAATGAAAAATAACTTCATTATAGTGTTTTGAAAAGCTCTTGACACCAGCTATTAGATTTTGGAATCAAAAATAGGGGTTTCTATTTAAAAAACCTAACCTAATCTTGAAATGACCTTGAAGGTCAAGCTCAAGGTCAAATTGAAGGTCACCGTTGAATTCCTCGTTGAAAATTACTTCAGAAATGACCTTGACCTTTTTCAAAAATACCTTACATGAGAAAATATTCAGCCGTCCCGGGACTTAATTGACACTCTGTATATTACTACCACTTCGTCAACAGTTATCAAGAGATAATAATAAAAATAATAAATATACACTTTATAAAAAAATATGAAAACTATTTAACATAAAAATATCTATTGAAAAAAGTTGTATATTCTAATCCAACATCTTTATTTTTAGAACACAAATAACACATATAATAGGAAAGGCTCATATGATAACTATCAAATAATATAATATTGTAGAAAGGCATTAAGAGTCGTCGCGAAATGTTAGTGCGAAATTATTTTAATTTTTCTTAAAGAAATTAATTTATTAGTCTACGTGAGACAGTTAATTTATTTTTTTTTTTAATTTTTAGAATTAAAATATACAACTTTTTTCCATAGTTAAAACAACATTGTTTTAGGTGTATATTTGGCGCCTTTTTTTATTTTTTCCACTTTATTTAAAAAGATATTTTACAATTTTACAAGTTGCTGAAAAAGTTAAGCATAAAATAGCGTTATAATTTTACATAGGTATATTTTGAGAGTCGTTATTGAGAAGAAATCAGAATGATATATGACACAAGATTAATAAATATTGTTAAAGTTAAAATGGTGCAAAGACGTTATTAATTTTTCAAAATCGATTTTTTCGAAGAGATATATAAAAAAATTTTATTCTATATTTCTGATGTATTTTTATACAAGCAGTTACATCCTATTTCTGCTTGTACCACAATTTTTATCGTATCCAAAATTCTCGATCGTATTATAAGTATTCTGCAGTTTGTAATCTGTAGAGTAATACAAAATGATACAAAAAGCGCATTTTTGAACGTGCAGATCGCAAAGGCGACAAAAAAGATTGAAGAACGCGGAAAATGGTCGAACGAGCGAATTGACCGCGTCGGGTAGTCAGGATGAGTCTGATTCTGAAGGCGGCGCGTCGACTCCTAGCGCTGAGAGAAATCCACTATCCATGTTATCCGAGGCCAGTTCGGAAGGTTTTGATCAACTCGCCAAGCAGAGTCACAGGGAGAAGTATTTGAAAAATGCCTTTGAATCGCTCAGCGGAGCGGAGGAGCCTCCGAATCGTGTAAAAGCGACAAGTATCAGCTCCCAATTTCATGGAAGGTGAAATAAGATTTGAAATTTAACACGCGTTAACACGTGTTTAATACGTTGATTTTTAATTAATTCGCATTGTTGTAGACTTAGCGGTGGTGAAAGTAATGCCAGTGCCAAAATACGTAATGCAGCGGTAGTCAATGCGACCAAACATGCGAGAAGCGATGCCGATGTGATGAAGAAACGAGAAGAGCTACAAAGGAGGATAGAAGAAACTAGAAAAAAATTGCAAAATGTAAGTAATTTCCTTTCTCGGTATTCGGCTGCTGGCCGGCACCCTAAAGTAAAATGACCAACCGTAAGCGCACCAACTTTCATTAGTAAAAGTAATATACACACATAAATATTTGCATCGACATAAAGATATTTACGGACCTCCAAAAATATGCAAACACAGACCGGTATACACGACAAACTCGCGTAGACAAACATGCAAACGGACTTGCAGCTTGTAAAGAAGACTTTCAAATTCCTGTAACTCAAAAATCCATATTCAAAGTTCTGTGTTTGAGTCTTTTGATCAGAGACACAAGAACTATATTATATCACAAATTCAGACAAATTGAAAATGTTTTTCCATGAGAATCATGTGGCATCTTTTGATAAAGATTACCCGCCATCAAATTTTTCATATATGCTAACAAATTTCTAACAAAAAGATATAGATATAGGATAAATGATTTAAAATTACAGTAAAATATAATCATTGCGTTATGCAACTCATTATTCTCACATTTTGGCGATTTATCAATTGTTAAATCTCAATAGCTTTGAACTGTGTGTGTAGTTGCTTTCTTCATATCCAAGTTATGACATTTACAGGTCGGCTACAAATCGTCATTGAAATTCAGCCAGAGCATATCCGACTTGAGCAGCCACATACCAGAGAAGCATCATCGTTCAAACAGACTCAGCACAGGTAACAGATCCAGTCAGCAATTTTCAAAACCAACTAATCCCCGCAAACCCACGCTAAATCCAAAGCCCGTGTTCAAACCCCAGCAACTCATTAACAAGAGTCAAGGTGTGGGAAATGCATTACCTAAGCTAAACATACCAAATGAAAACTGCTTGTCGAAAAGTCCGACTGTATCGTGCATCAATGAGAAAGCGACTTTTAGTCGTCCATTAACGTTGACATTAAAGAAAACTGAAAAGTATAAGCTGTCCTTGAATAAAGCCAATCAATCCTTGCCTGAGTCGCCCGTGTGCGAGGAATTGAAACTGTTAAGGGAGCAGTGTAAGAAAAACGTGAACCGCTTTGCGAGGTTCGCGCAAAAGAGGCGATCCTGCAGTTATTTTATCGGTTTGAATGATAACGAAGAAGACATAGAGAACATCGCCAAGTCTTTTGAGAGTTTGCCTGCCATGAACGAACGTAACATGGAAAATCTGAAAGAAAACATGGACGACGCCGAGGAGGGGAATGGCAACTTTAGCGACGACTCGTTAGAGGGTGATTTTAAGAATCCGCCTCGACGTTGCGTCAGCGACTATCAGATAAACGTTCACGTGGACGATTACAGAAATTATTCGAGTTATCAGAATTTTCAGAGGCCAGCTTTAAGCGGTTCTCAAGAAAGCATACTTTCGGATGCATCCGTTGAATCATTCTCCAAAGGCAGCGCCGAGATTCTGGATTATAATCATTGCGATCACGACAGACATTCGAGCGCGAGCTTCTTCTTATCGCGGCGTAGGGCGGGCAGAAGCCAAGAAAGTATCTTGACCGATGAGTCCGACTATCAGATGTTTCCGCTACGTGAGAACATCGATCATCGCAGCACAGAGAGCGTGTTGACCGACGACTCGGATTCTCTAGTGAAATCAGCGCCGTTAGAAATGCTGTTCGACTCGCACTACAAACGAAAGAGGCAGAACTCGGAAACATACAGCGGAAATCCCAATAACGCCGTGGAAGCATCCGCTGCTATTGCGGATAATGCGCAGTACTCCGCCGACGAGAATACGTTGCGCAGGGCAGTGTTCAGATCAAAATCCTTGCAAGATACTCGGATCAGTAAAGTGAAAAACATGGAGAGTAACGTGAATTTTGCGGAGGATAACGCGCCACCGAAAACTCATATTTATTATGAATTTAACTTTGATAACGGTCACAAAGACAACGTAGACCCGACGATTTGCGGCAAGTTGGAGACGGTCTCGCGTAGCAACAGTCTAAAAGTGCCTATGAAGCCGGAATCGATGATGATCCTGAATGACTTTGTCGCTCACAAGCCACCGAAGCCTAAGAGAAACTCTGTTCGCACTCAAAGCATGCGAAACCGAGCTCGACCGAGCTGGAAATACCTTGATGCGCCGCTCTCGTCATTTGTAATGAAAAACCCTGCTGATTCCGACAGTTACATGAGTTTATCATCTGTGAATCCTGCTTATAAAACCGTACAGAGCAATTCGGAACTTGAACGAGATTCGATCAATTCCGAGATAATTCAGGAATTTTTGCAATCCGCGAACTACGCGCAATCCGACGATGATAAGGACAACAGAGGCAAGTTTTACAGCTTACAGACTCATCGCAGCGCGAATACAAATGTCGATCTCCAAGACGAATTAATGTACGACGGGAGCAATACCTCGCATCTCACCAATAATCGTTATCTGACCAAAATTCACGACACGGGTGAAAGACAGAGCGCATCCATCAACAAAGAGCAGATCGGTTGCTTCGAGAACGATATCCCTACGAAGGACACCAGTGAGGCTTACGACTCGCTGGAACTCGGCGGAACCGCCGTCTGCAAACAGCCGCCGAAGACGACGGAGCTGCCGTCCGACGGTTCGAGTTTTCAGTCCGCCGATCAACGAATTGACGACAATCTAGACGCAAGCGTGGACGTCAGAATAACCCGCGCCATCGAGGGTACCGTAAAGTTACTTTCAAAGGAATTCGAGAATCTCGTGCGACGGAAGCAATACTTGATGAAGGACAAATGTCTGCGACTGACGCAATGCCGGGAAATTGGCGAAAACTTTGCTAAATTGGAAGCCGAGCGAGACGGCAGATTCTGCGCGATCAGGCGCGACATGCGACTGCAATCGTGCGGTGAGGACAGCGACTGCGCCGATGTGTCCGCGATGGACAAATCGCTAATGGAGAGCGGCTCCTCCACGTCCGCCTCGAGTTGCACCAACTCGCCCAAACGAATGTGGCCGCCTGCATCGCGGTGTCACAGTCACATAAAATGGACGAGAACTCTGCCGACAATCGATCAAGCGATTCTACCGACGAAGCATTCTTACGCAGGTATTGAGCGAGTAGGGAATGCTTGTGCGTGTATTTTTACGTGTTATTTTAATTTTACAATACAAAGCAAAATATAATAGTTAGCAAAATCGAGGAGGCATTCATGCGATTACACGAGTAAAACATAAATCGCATCAGCATGTTACACTGAAAAAAAAGATACGTTTTATATATATTAATATATATATATATATATATATACATGTCCATGTGAATGTACGCAATTATATAAATATATGCAACACGTAGCTAGAAATGAAGGTGAATCATCGCAACAAGGTACCATGGTCGTAATAATTGTTTACAAACAATCATCAATTTTATTTCAAGACGGCAGCAACTTACTTTTCAGTTTGAATGCTTCTAATTATGAAGATAAAGCTTGAGTGTTAATATTTTTTATCATTTTCATTTGGCACGGAATGCAATCGCATGCTTTTTTTCAATATACATATATTATATTTGTACATCCTACTCCCCATTTATCGTTTCCCCACTTTACTACCAATTCTTATTTTATTAATTTTATGCAAGAATATCAAATAAACAATTGTGACTCAAATATTAATTAAGGGTGGACTTCCGAAAAGCTATCACCTCCGATTTGGCTTATATTCAGCCTAAATACTTATTTTATCTAGTAAATAATATTTCCAAATGGATTTTTGGCGCAAATGCCCCCTCCGCTCCTCAACCCCTCTCAAAGGTAAAACTGTTTTTGTTAATTATTTTAGAAAGCATTTATTGTACGGAAAAAGTTGTCAAACAAAAAATGAAGCTCATAAAAAGTTTTACAAATAAGGTCTTATATATATTTTACCTAACTCCAATATTTTAGTCGTTATTATTAAAAAACTTGTAAAAGCCCCCATAGGAGGGGCGGCACCCACTGCATCCACGCATACACTTTACAACGCGAAGCGAGGTTCTACATGGGTTTACGACTTTCTACGCAAAGCGAGATTTAATCCAAACCCTATGTGTATAGTTATTTGATGGTGGAGCCCCCCGCAGAGAGACGGAACACATTGCTTCTAAATTCTTGATAATAACGGCTAAAATATTGGAGTTAGGTAAAATATGTGTAGCATCTTATTTGTAGAGCATTTTATGAGCTTCATTTTTTGTTTGATAACTTTTTCCGTACAATGAACACTTTCTGAAATAATTAACAAAAACAGTTTTATCTTTGAGGGGGGCTGGGGGCGGAGAGGGCATTTGCGCCAAAAATCCATTTGGGATTATTTACTAGATAAAATAAGTATTTAGGCTGAAAATCAGCCAAATGGGAGGTGATAGCTTTTCGGAAGTTTATCCTTAATTTAAATAGATAATTTTTAAAATTTTTTGAAGGGGCCTGAAACACTTGATCTTCTTGTATAGAAATTTAAATACATTTTAAATATCTTTATCAATTTTATTTTTTACGTCACATTACATAATTACATATTTAGCATTTACATTACAATCAAAGCTACAATTTTTTCATAATTTACCAATTTTAAAAAATAAATCAATATTAATTTCTTGGCAAGAAAATGCAAAAGAAAAAATGCATTATGTAAATAGTAGCGATTAGTGCATGTGTGTGCGCGTTGTCAACAGTTGGCAGTAGTGGGGGGCGAGTTTCGTCTAAAGTTATTGACAGCGAAGAAGAAGGGGGTATGAGACGCGCCTGTTCGCTGAGTGATCTTTCCGTCAGCCCTCCAAATAGGTTACTGCATGGTCCTGTACAAGGTATATTTCATCATTCTATTTATTCTGTATCAATAATGTATGTATTCTTAATGTAATTTTATATGCATTTTTTTATTTTTTATTTTTAATAAAACTGTAAGTTCTAAACACGTAATGTAACGAATATTTACATTTACGAAAAAGCTGTTACGACAAAGTATACAATAAAAATCATGGTGCAATCGGAAAGAAGATGATACAAAAGTAAATAAAAAATGTAGAATAAAATTTTTTCATACAAGCTTTGTCAAAAGATAATTAACTTTGAAAGATGAAAAGCTAATAACATTTTTGAAATAATCTCGACAACGGCTATTAAGACATTCAAAAGTACATTTTATTTAAAAATATAACTTATACAATAAAATCATACAAGTGTTGAAAAAATTATGCGTAAACTATCGCGATAAAATTTATTTTTTTAGTGTATCATATTTTTTTATGTTATATGTATATTTTGATTTAACCATTTTTAAGACAAATTTGATATATTACACAATATTATTAAAGATTATTCAAACTTAGAAAAATATAAAGATGTCATTCATTTTTCAACTTTTAAAATCGATTTTTTAAAAAGTAAAGTAAGTGAAGTGAATAAACTTATAATTTACCATAATTCTCACTGTATTCTAAAGAAACAAGAAACTAGAAAATAATTTTTTTTAATAACAATTGTATTCACCACATAATGCACGCGTGCGCACTACACACACACACACACACACACACCACGCGCGCGCGCGCGCGCGCATACGTACACCACAATAATTTTTATTTACCATATGATTATTATGCACACCGCGTACGTGCGCACACACGCATATAAACGAGGGCAGTCTGAAAAGTTCGCGGAGCGGAAATGAAAAAAACAAGTTATAGTTCTAGAAATGGCTTTATTTTTCAACATAATCTCCTTTAACTTCAATACACTTAGTCCAGCGCTTCTCTAATAAATGTATCCCATCCCTGAAATGACTTTGCGGAAGCTCTGCAAAATACTCGTCTACGGTTGCAATCACTTCTTTATTGGACGAAAAACGCTTATCAGCGAAGTTTTTCAGTTTTGGAAACAGGTGGAAGTCGGAAGGAGCCAAATCTGGTGAATAGGGTGAATGTTCCAACCAACAATTCATATTTTAATTCGTTGATTTTTCCCATCGCATTCGATTCCGTTTCTCATCAATTCTTAGCAGATACGGCACCCGACTTGCACTAAGTTTTTTCATATGCAATTCTTCGTGTAAAATATAACCTACACGTTCTTTTGAGATGCCCATGGCCTCAGCAATCTCACGCACTTTTATTCGCCGGTCATCCAACACCATGTCATGAATTTGTTGAATGATTTCCGGTGTTGTAACACTTTTTGGGCGTCCACTGCGGGGATCGTCTTCGATGCTTGTACGACCACGTTGAAACTCAAGTGTCCACTTGCAAACCATTGTTTTTGAAGGAGCAGATTCTCCTAACACATTTACCATTTTAGTATGAATTTCCATTGCCTTTAAACCTTTCTTAACAAAGAATTCTATTACATCACGATGTTTCAAATTTTCCATTTTAAAAAATACACTGACATGTCACCTTTGAATGGATTGTAAGTAAAGAATCAATTGACAGATGGATTTCGCACTTCACATGGATTCATATGAAGAGTGAAGTTGTACAATCAATTAAAATTTAAAACTACTACTATTGACTTACAGATGTCGCTCCGCGAACTTTTCAGACTGCTCTCGTACAACATACAAACATTTATTTCCGTAAATACTAAATATTTATATTAGAAATATATAAAAATATTTAAAAAGTTTATTTTTTTATTGAATATTGAACCAATTTGTTTCCATTCCATTGGAACAAATATGTTCAATACTTGATCATATTAGAACTTTGTTTATTAAAGAAATGTAAAACTTTATTTAAGAAAATTTCTTGTCATAACTAGTGAACAACAGTTTCAGGAAAACTAGGTAGTAAAAATACAAGCACAACTTTGAGAGCAGGTTCTGGAAATGCCAATTCCAGTAGTCAGTCTAGACATACCTCAGGGAAAAATCACTCAAGTCATATGACAAGAAGCAGTAGCGTTGGTGTCTTGAATCAAGTATGTGTTGCAATATCGACAATAAGAAATATGAAATTTATGATAAATATTAAAATTATAAAAATTATTGTCATTTATAGAGTGATTCAGAATCGGACGCCGGTATGACAGGAGGAAACAGTAGAGGATGGAGTAGTCAATCCGGTAATAGAATGAGCGGTTTAATGAGGCCAACGATCAGTTCCCAGAACAAAATCAATCTAAATAAATCGAGCTCTTCTGGCAGCAATGTTTCATCGATTTTAAGGAGACGGGGAATGCAAGGAGCTTTCTCAACCGGTATTTACGTTATTACTTTCTAGTTTTTGTTGCATTGTTACTTTCTGGTAAATGAACGTATCAACAATGCTGCCATGTTTATTTAAAATATGCAATTGTGTTGCAGTTAATCTAAGTCAAGTAGGAAATCAAGAAGATTCGAGTTCAGAAGACACCTCTTCGAATGGAAATGGAGGAAAACCGGCGTTACCGCCAAGGCCTAGAAGTATCAGTATTGACTATTCCTCTGCTAGGTAAAGACTTTACGATTTAAATAATGGCTTAACATTTATTTTCAAGTTTTCAACATTATTTTTATATAAAATCAAAACTGAATATTTATATTAATAAGTATTAATGACATGTGCGTGCGAGCGTGCGTGTCATTGCAAAAAAAAAACGTTTTACATCTGCCAAACTTTCATGTAACATGGTATACAAATATGCAATCTTCGTTGAAAATTAGTTGTTTTTTTAAAAAATTATTGTTGAAATTAAATTTGTTTTTTTAACAATTAAAAAGTTAAACTTAATTACAATTAGGAACAAGAAACAATATTTTTTTTATTAGTCTAAGTTTACCCGGTACGACGGTGAGAAGATCCGGATCATCGACTGTCATTACAAATGGTCGGGGTGGTGCTGGACAAAACGGAAGCAGGATGTCCGCGACGAATAGAAATCAGTTGGAACCTAGTCCTCATGAGTTACCGGTTAAAGACACGGATCGTTCTATCGATGTAACCAGTGCCGAGTGTAAGTATATGAGCTCTGTTATTAAACATGCAGCAATAATAATCATCTTTCATCGCCATTGAAGAGTGTAAGCATGCAAGATTGCAGGAATAAATGTCCCAAAATTTACTTCTTGTTTCTAATGTAAAATTTGTGTAACTGGTGACGTTGTGTAATCGGTGCCTTCTTCTTCGATTAACCCCTTAAATGATATATACATATACATGTGTTATTTGAAAACTGACCACCAGCATTAATGCGAAACACGTTACTAAAAACAAAATAAAATATTTTCCTACTTCTATATGATTTCCGCAAAACACGGTATTCGTAGGTTTTTGGGATCCTTGAAGTCGAATCTCTTGCCGAAATTTTTAAATTCAATACAATAGATCTAATATAGCAGGCTACAGCAAAGGACCTCGCACGATTCTTATGGAAAAATGTTTTTGATCAATTTGTCTGATATGATATAATTCTTGTGTCTTTGATCAAAAGACTCAACGGGCATAGAATTTTCAAATGAATAGTTTTTGTGTTATAGGCATTTGGAAAGTCTTCTTTCATTCATTTATGAATACAAGTTGATGTGTTTATGGTCGGCCGTATCGCTTGAGGGGCGTCAGCATTACGGCGCATGGCCGCTAGCCAGCACGCTAGAGTGAGACGACCAAGCGTGCCAATTTTCATTAATAAATAAAAGCAGTATACACGTACAAATATTTGTACAAACATAAGGATATCTACGGACATTCATGCATACAAAAATATGCATACACAAGCAGGTATGCACGACAAACTCGCGTAGATAAGCATGCAAATGGACTTGCAACTTGTGAAGAAGACTTTCAAATGTCTATAACTCAAAAATTATTCATTTGAAAATTCTGTGTCCATTAAGTCTTTTGATCAGAGACAAGAACTATATCATATCACAAATTCAGACAAATTGACCGAAAACGTTTTCCCATGAAAATCATGCGAGATTTTTTGAAAAATTATTCTATTCTCATAAAACTCATTAAACTTTGATTTCTAAAATTTTTTTAATAATCTTTAAATTCAAATATAATATTAAAATTTAGAAATTCAAAAAATATTATTTTTTTACACAACACAAAATAAAAAATGTGCTTAGAAATTTTAATTTACATGTCACATTTAAGTGTCCACAACTTTTTTCTTTTTTTTTTTTTAATTATTTTATCGTAAATTTTTTTAAACTTTTTATTCGTTAATTATGAAATTTATTGTTGGAATGTCCAATTAGCACATTAATTCACATTTCGGAATTTCAAAATTTTGATTGCAGATTTAAATTCAGCATTTTTATTTTTTAACATTTAAGGGGTTAACACGGTACACATCGCTATCTAATATCAATTTTATTCTTGCAGTAGGCACGGATAAAACATTAGGTAATCTAGAGACATCTATTGAGAATGCTGTGCTGTGAATGTAATTTCACTATATCAAAAATTTGTAAGTGATCATGCTATGAAAAAAAAAAGTTGAAATCCGGTTGGAAAATAAACGCAGCTGTACATAAATGCTAATATATGTTGCAGTTGACATGTTTTAACATGAACGAAAATATTGGCAAAGTCACAGTTATGCTTCAATTTGAAATACCTTCTCGTTATCACATTACTTTATCAAAGAGCTTTTTATTTATTTCGTTTTATTTAAAATTCAATTTACATGTCTTGTTATACTCTAAGACCTTTTTATTTGTACAAAATTATATTTATATAGAATTTTATTTATAAAATTATAAAATTATATTTATATAAAATTTTATATATAATAGAAATATTTTATATACACAGAGTGTCCCATTTTATTATATTTTAAACAGTCAAATATCTGGAAATCACGGGATTTTAGAAAAAAATGTTTCGTACAAAACTTTTATGACTTCGAGGGCGACATAAGATGGTTCCTTGGATAGTCGTTTGAAGAACACATGAAGATCACCTCCAATTTCTTAAATGGAAAACCTCATTTTTCATTGCATACTCTTGTAGCTTATCTCGAGAGCTTTTCAAAACACTATGATAAAGTATTTTTTTATTAAGCATTTTCGAGTTGAGGCTTGAAGTTTACAGTACCGCCGGCATTACCCAAGATGTATCGTGTGGTGGTTGCACTGTCGGACTTACACATCTGTGTGTGCGTGCGTGTGTGTATTCGCGCTCTCACGCGGTGGAAACGCGAATTGCACGGCTCGTCACTTCGACCACGGTGTAAGAATATAAGGTGATTTCACGGCAACAAATTTTTGTGATTTTCCTGTCATTTGTTCCACATTGAACCGCTAGGTAGCTACGTGTTGAGGGACTTTAAATATATATATATAAATTTTATTACAATTTTATTGTCCTGCGGAACTTAATTATAAATATTCATTTTCTTAAAGAAACTTAATTTTCTATAAAGACTGGAATACATTATTAATTATTTTTTCTGCAAATTTAACTAAGAATAATTTGTTATAAAAAAATTAAAAAATATTTTGTCAGTAATATATATTTTTATACACAATGTTAAAAGTTTTATTTTAAAAAATTTGTATTATTTAGGACTATAATTATATATAGATGTGCTTTAGAGATTCATCATCTATTCTTTTCTATCCACATCTATCCATATCTTCTATTCTTTTTACTTGGGATTTTGCACCAACGTGACATCTTGTGTGACATGCCTTAACTATGACATCTTGATCACAGATTTTTGATAGAATACAATGGTCGTGAAATCACCTTATATTCTTACACCGTGCTTCGACAGTCGACAAACATGATGACTGCATCGTGGCTGCCTGCAGAAGAATTTCTGTACATACTATGTAGAATACAGTGGCGAATTTTAACAGGCGAGTACGACTCTGTATCGAGCAGAATGGCAACAACTTCGAATAGTTGCTGTAAGGTACACAGTTGGAGAGCGGTTTGTAGTAAAAAAATACAGCGGAAGTGACGAGCCGTAGGATCCGCGTCTCCACCCGCATGTTAGCGCAAACACACACAAACGCACACACAGAGGTGTAAGTCCGACCGTGCAACCTCCACGCCATACACCTTGGGTAATACTGTAAACTTCAAGCCTCATAACTAGAAAAGTGCTTAATAAAAAAATACTTTATCATAATGTTTTGAAAAGCTCTCGAGGTAAGCTACAAGAATAATATATAAGAATGCAATAAAAAATAAAAGTTTTCATTTAAGAAGTTGGAGGTGATCTTCACGTGTTCTTCAAACGACTATCCAAGGAACCATCTTATGTCGCCCTCGAAATCATAAAACTTTTTTACGAAACATTTTTTTCCAAAATCCCGTAATTTTCAGATATTTGACTGCTTAAAATAAAATGGGACATCTTGTGTATATATATAATTTATTTATTTGTATATACTATATATCAAGAGACACGGTAGTCTCGCGCCAAGTTCACGCGCAGCGCAAGACCGACCGTGTATCTTTACGCGAGCACATGAGCTGATAGGAGTCGAGATTTTCATATCTCAATAATGCGTGGACCGATCGAATTTATAATAGGCTCAATCGATAGAGCACATGCGATTTACGTAATAAAAGTATCTTTACTTTTTTTGTACATGCTTTCTAAAAAAATATATTAATTGCCAAAGTTTGCCAAAGTCGAAATTTATGTAAGTCTTGGTCGTCGTCGTCGTCGTCGTCGTCGTCTGTTCGTCATCCTTCTCTAATATATAAGTTTGTCCTTTGTCAACTAAAAGCATCAAAATGCGACATGGTTGTCCTTTTCTACATCCCGTGAAATGTCGATTCCCGCATAAGAGCGTCTTTTTTCTTTCCTTTCTTTTTCTAAAAGATGTCTGTCCTTTTCCAACATGGCGGCGCTCAAACCTGTCAGCTCGCAGCTTTAATGATACTAATCACATTGATATAATTAATATCGGTCGTAAAATGTATATGTAACGTGTTGTGGAGACGAATAGAGATAGTGTATATCAAAATAATAGTATTCTTTATAAAAAAATTTTTCTTGTCTTGAAGTGCAGAAGTGTAGCAACACACATGCTGACAACACTCTTAAAGGGAACGTTCACAAGTGTCCCCTCCCGATTTGATTCTCCTTGAAATATGTTGTAAAACATACAATTTGAGAAGACACGTATTTTTTATAGCGGCCCTAACTCAAATTTAAGGGGTGAAACACCCTTTTGAAAAAAACGAGTTTTTTCTTTGTGTGTAACTATCGCCAAAACCGTAAGAGATATAAAAAAATGTTTCAAGTAGAAGTTGTATGACTTGTAATGGGCTTTATAACTGTGTAGTTGGATTTTCAAAAAATGTAATTTTTTTAGTTTACTCCCACCCCTTGATATTATTTTTTTGAATTTTAAAATTTTTGTAATGACAAAAGTTGTAGCATTTTTTACGCTGAATTCAACCATATATGATTTTATTATGTTCCGAAATCGCATCTTTCAAAAATGAGTCATCAGTATCACATTATATGCGTCGCGCTGCATGACGCATTGTTTATACCGCACTTGTGTTGCGCAATAGTCGTTAAATAAATATAAAAATGACATGTTATCACATATTTAAGGAAGAAAAGTTAACTAAAATTGTTGCTAAAGCATCCTTTCCACATTACACCCTTATAGATAATCGCTGCATTTCGTGTGCAGCGCGTTGTCATATACAAGTTAGCTATCAGCGCATATTACACTTTGAATTTGCTTGCAGTGACCACGGAAATAATTTATGAAACGAAAACAGTGAATGAATCAATCTATTCAACATATATCCACCCTGACTCTACCCTCTTGGCCCGACTTGACTGACAATGAATTGAAATATAAAATTCTTCTTTAAAAAATCGTAGTAATTTAGTGGAATGTAATAGCATGTAGAATCGCAGTATATTAAAATTATTGAAAAAGAGTAAACTGTACAGAATTTTATATTTTATTTCATTCTCAGTCAAGTCGGGCCAAGAAGGTAGAGTCAGGGTAGATATATG